TCAGGTGGGCCTATGTTAGTGAGCACTGCTGAGAGAGGGCGGCTCCAATGTCAGCAGCCTCTCATCATACATTGTCAACAGGAAGATTAACACAATCACCCTTTTCACTCTCCATCTTATCTGACTGCTGTTAACTTATTGCCTTTGAGCAGGGCAGTTAAGATAAGGCCACGAGGAAGGTGACAAGGTGACTGTGTCAGGTAAGCCACACACGTGTTGTCAAACGTTTTCACTCATCTAAAGCTCATTTATTTAGTTTAGGTACTTGAAGTTGAAAACAACGCTGCCTAAGTTTTGACATTGTGCTGTAACTGTTTATGTTAAAAGGTGTTTTTCTGTCTTAATACTAAAACTAATAGTAATATCACCTTCTGGTCAAGTGATGACGATGGGGCAGGGAGATAAGGGGGGGGGGGGGGTGTTAAGAGGGTAGTCAGCAATTACATTACACTGGCAAATAGTGATATTGACCCAAGTAATAGTGATATCAACAACAGCAGCCTAGAGATAAGACAATTCAATTAGTCAGGCCATAAATAAAGGAACAACTGATGAGTAGAAGAGGAGAGGATGCTCTCACCTGCCTTCAGAAGATGGACATCAAGCACCTTAGTCGTCGAACCTGGCAACCTCCTTATGGATGTGTTCCATTCAGCAAGGAACCATCCACAGAGTGTTGGTCATGGAGAGAGTAAAATGGCAGAGAAGGAAGTTTCTGAATGCGAGAAGAAGAGAAGAGGGTCTGTAGAGAACGGCTTGACCAAATCCAGCTCCACAGGGTTATCAGCAGTGGCAACAACAATCCAAAAGGTTGGTGTTGAGAGGCAAAACGGTTACGTCCCTGAACAACAAAAAAGTCAGGATTGAAAATAACCTGTTAAAGCTGTGGAAGGAGCTTTGCCTAAAAAAGCTGGTGCAAACTTTACCTGGGATACAGTTCAACTTGATCTGAGATCAGTGTTTGGGGAAGGGGGCAGGTGGGGAGGAGAGGGAGGTTGAGGGGAGGGACGGCGTAGGAATCTGAGGAAGAGAGGGAGTGGAAACGGAGCAATATGTAAGAAGAGGAGAGGGGATGTCAGAGATGTGGAAATGATGGAGGGGGAAAATCAAAGGGAATTGCTCCTTAAGGAGGTATTTTAAATACAGTTTAAAAGGAATGTTTAGTACAAAGAGAGGCTCTCATAAAGGATGAGTGTCAAGATTTTTTAGCAGGATCTGTCATTAGCACCCGCAAAGGGCCGAATGATGATAAAATATGTCTTTGCTTTATAATTTGGAGGAAACACCGAGGTCTTTATCTTTGTGGCACAATGACGTTTAAATACCACGATTTTTAATAATGCTTCAAACAGCATTTGAAAGTATTTGGAGAGGAGTTCTATATGCAAGTGGACAGGGTTATTGAATCATTTGTTCAATAGCATACCTCAAGAAGAGGTATGCCTTTGGCTTGGACCTTAATTGTGCAAAATACGTTGCCAGAGTTCATCCGGTGCAGTTCGGGCAGCATCAGGCCACCGGAGCACATAAACTCTTCAAAGTAGTACATCCTCACTCTGGGTATTATGGACAAAAACACACACAAACCTTGCTTTTAAAGCTCAGCATTAGGTAGAGTTACAGAATTAACATGAGTCACTTTGGAGACCCTCTTTTCTAATTAGGAACAGCCACATTTACAAGGTTATACAAGACACTTGGTTTCAATAGATGCTGGAGAGATAGGGAAGAGAAATCTCAGGTGGATCCACACCGATAGGGTCTGGGAAGGAGAGGGCAGTCAGTCGGTTCTTTGTTGCAGGAGGACAGTGGAAGTAATTGGAGAGGCAGGGAGCAAGATGTGTGAAAGGCTCCCGGTCTGAAGGCCCGGGGTTCCCATTAAGCAGCACCGAGGTTTCTCTGTGGAGGCCTCTTTTATACCTCCGACGTCTTGTTGTGTAAATGGACGCATACTCTTAACCATTTTTGAAAGAGAACTGTGAACAAAGAGGGACCCAAAAAAAGAAAATCAACATTACAGATGACCACCTGGGCCGGGGGAGCTTCCCAATGGAGGACTTTTTGTTTTGGGAAAGGTAGAGGATGTAAAAGTGGGAAGGAGTGAGATGGGGCGATACGCGTCGTTACTCGCACCTGCGCTCTCGCTTCCCCATTCGGTGACCCTCCAAACAGCTCATTAGGAAAGGAAAACATCCCAAAGAAATCACAATGCTCTTTTAATACTTCTCAACATGAACGCTGACGCATTAAATTACTTTTTAAATGTGACGGGGTTGCTCGTAGTGACGAACCGAAAGAGAATTGTCCCCCCGTCAACAGAATGTCACAGGCCAATCCCTTAGGTTTTCTCAAATCAGTTGTTTGAAAGTGACCAGACCTGTCCAGGTACATGACCCATTGATCTTCATGGGTTGGTGATGTAACAATACAGAATACCAGTACCAGTTACCAGATACCAGTAACTCTTTAACTACTCTGGTGACGTCCCTCTCAAGGCAGAAGCATTCGTCCTCTTGTGCTGTCAAGTCACGGGACAGAACTCCTCCGTTGGACCACACTAACTCAGCGACGGGGGGAGGCGGGCATACATTGCAATGTTGGAAACGGAAACAGCAGAAAGTGAAAGCAGAGCAAACGTGAAATTGCCACTGGGCAATTTATCTGAAGGAGACTGTGCTTCTCTTCCATAGCGCTCTGCTAGAACCATAGAGTTCAGACTTCCTAAAATCTATCTGGATGCGAGGGTCTTTTTAGCAAATTTTTTGGTTTTACGGTCCATGACATGGACTCATCACCCGACCCTTGTATATGGCTATTCTGGACTAGAAAAAAAACCCTCAACCTTTGGACCTGGTCAAGTGACTCACACAACTTGATTTCAAGAATTCTGAATCATTAACTCACATCCACTCTGTTTGCAATATTGAAACTTCCCATTCTTCTACTTCGATAAGTCCCTCTATGACCTTTGTCTTGTGGTCGGAAGGAACGGTGACATTAACAAAAGCAATAAATGCAACCTTTGATGCTCAAAGATTGAGCGAGGCGGTAGTATGAGTATTAACTCTTGAGTGGGAATGACCTAAGGCATTGCATTCAGCGTCTATAATTGAGTTGAAACTTGCCTCAATATAGATGCAGATGTATTTCAATGATACTGCAGTATTGAAGAAGGGTTTCGGGGGGTCAACAAGGTAAGAGTAACCAAAAGGTAAAAATGATGAAACCTGGATTGTGGATGAATTAAAGGTGTTGCGGTACCTATTTTTAATCGCACCGATTGACCCTACGAGGGTCATGTATGCCTGCACGTCCAAAGTGACTAATGATCACACCAGGGCCTCCGTATGGCAGATTTTCACCTGCTTGTGCACATTCAACATTTGATGGTACACAGCAGAACAAAATGGAGAACTTTGAGAATGTTGGCTCTAGTACAAAAAGTTGCGGGGTTTCCTTGTTACAATCCCTTGTCAGCTCATGCCCTTGAGACCATCCTTTCAGTAGCTTAACCAAAGCTTTGAACACGAGGGGTGGGAGAATATGAGTGTGGCGGCCGGCGGGCGGCCCAAACCAACTTTAGGATAGTTTGCAAGAGAGAGTCATAACTGACATCAAAGCTTTTTCTATGCAGTAAGAGGGCACCTTGTGGGAACAAGGTCAAAGTATCCAGCATCACACATTTTGGAGAATCCATCAAGCCTGACCCTCACAAAGAAGGTCCTGGACTGGATACCCACTGAGCTCTATTTGGCAGACACCTAATCCGGGGAGTGGGCCACTCTAATTCAACCCTGATGCCCGGCGGTTGGCTCTGCCCTGCCCTCCTCCACTTCCTCTCCATTCACAATGGAGAACCTCCTTCCAGTAACCCAAACCTCCTTACCCCAGCGACTCCTTCACCTCGGCACACAATAGGCCCTGTTGAGCCCCCTCTGCCCTCAATCCCACTTCATAATGCAATGGGGCAGATCAAGGGCAGATCAGAATACCAACCGTGCAGCCGGGTCGCGTTTACCGAGCAAGGTGTGATCCGTCCAAAACAACCGCAGCGATCTTCAAATTGTCTGAGCTTCATCTTGTGAACATCTCTGAGAGACTTTACTGTGAATTGAGCTGAGTGATAACGGTACCAATGACAATGCTTAGCAGGTATGTTTACTTTGGTCAGCACCTGAGTTTAGTGTGTCGGCATCACGCTTGATTGATAGTGGCACTACAGTGGAACCAGAAGATCTCCAAATTTGCCAGAGGAAATGGGAATTCCTTATATTTTTAAAGATGGAGCTAGAACCCAGCTAAGCTCCTTAACAACTAAAGAAAAAATGTCAGTAGTTGTTTGTCATTGAGTTGTTGAGGTCATTTGGGGATTTTCATTATTCCAAACCAGTCACCAAAGTAAAGCAGGTTCTCCTGTATTTCTGAACCATGCATCAGTCCATGTTCAGGTCGTTGTTACGATCAGACAAACTTTGGAGAACACTTTGACTCCCAAACTGTGCGAAGGGTTTCCTGCTGGTCACTGTGAGTTGAGAGGTGGGTGGTTGGCACAGATATCCCACACAGGATTAGAGCCATGCTGCTGGAAGAGAAGGGGGGAAAATAGAGGGAATGCCCCAGAAACACAACACCGCCTGACACGTATGGAATGGACTTTTAGCAGCTCCACTAAAAGCTGCCTGCCAGAACCAGAGAAGATCTGCAGAATGCCATCTTCTCCACTGCCAAGAGATCAGCCTGATAGACAGGGCTGTGTATGTTGAGCGCGTGTACATCCTGCCTGCAACACGACGCTCTGGTCTTTCATTCATGACTTGACAACAGTCGGTAACATGTAGAACACAAACCATGACAACTGCTGGCCGGGTTGCGACAACCTTCCTGATCCCCAGAGGATTCGTTTTGATCCATTTTGTCCCTCTTATCCCCCGAAACCTGATCAAAACGTGTCATGGTTCATGATTACTACAGTACCTATAAACTATATGTAAAATGTTGTACAAATTTTGCACAAGAATAAGCTTTATTTTTTAAAGAGAAGTAAAATGGTTTCCATTACATGTCATTACATATGACAGGACAATCTCAAGAAACAGGAATTTACCTTTAGAAATATGTAGATACACATTTGAGAAACAGCAGGAAGCAAACATGATACATTTAAAATAAGACAAGGCAAGCTGTATTGTAGATACGCAACTAACTTTTAAATCTCTGTATTTGGAATTACTAGAAGAAGTTAGAAGTTAGAATTAGAAGTTAGGGTGACTGGAGACCAGATCATACTTTAAAAGCATCACAATTACAAATTACAAGCAAAATATCTCCGTATACAATTTAAATAAAAAATATCAACAAATATCTCGTGCAAATCACCAAAAAATAAAGCCTTTTATACCCATCCCATTTTTTCCCAAATACGCACTAGAGATTTTCTACCAATCCCCATACCTGAAATGACGTGTCAGCCAATATACCTTCTCACACGTTGCTGTGACGACACATCCTTCAAACAGCTGTATGATGCAAGTATCTCATCAAAAACTTTACAAGATTACATTTGAACACATGACAACGTTATTTACTTTAAAAAAGGGATTGGCGATGAAGATCAGCGTTGTGAGGCCGCTGCCAAAGCACCCTACGGCAGCAGCACGTGAAACACCTTCATGAGGGATGCTGCACTCGCCCACGTACTGTACTCATTCTGCAAAATGGAAATTTACTCAATTCAGTTGAAGAAGAACCTTATTTAAATTTAGGAAATTCAGGGATTGCAGACTGAGCGGCAGTTCACTATTCCCATGTGGGCAGTTTCAGGTAGAACACGTTTCAGGTCAGAAGATGAATTAATGCAGTCGTCCCTTTTTGCTGTCCACTCTCTGATCAACAATTCGGAAGACAACCCCCGCTCACGGGAATGGTCCAAGACCCCCCGTCCCGTGAAATGGCAGACGCCGGGAGTGTCGGGTTCGTAAGACGGACGTGGAGGAGAGAGACCGAGGTCACCGGGTGAGGGCCGAGAAGCCGCCCTGACCGAGGTGCAGCGGAAGTGTCCGTGACACAGCGGCTGGTGTGTGGTTACCACACACACACACACACACACACACACACACACACACACACACACAGGGCCTCAACGCTTCTCAGCCGCCCCCACAAAGAGGGGCCAGAAGACCGGCGGTAACTTGAGCGCCGGTGCTCCTTCTTGCCTCCGTCCCGGACCTCACCGAGGACTTTGTCTCGTCTTTCTGCCGGGGCGTCTCGACTGAGCAGCAGCATCCGATGGCCACCGCGGTATCCACAACACACGGGTTTATCCAAGGGTATTTCACCGCTATCACGGCTCACGTGGAAAGAGAGGGAGCCCAGCGATGGGAAGAAGCGGGGGAAGTTATTTGTGCTACTTCCAAAGGCTACTTGGCAGAGAACATTGACACCGACAAATCCAGTGTGCCTTGATAAAGACCAGGAGAAATTCAGCCTCTTTGAGCCCTTCATGATCATACAAATCAAAATGAAACATACATCAGGTCGACTTGGCTGCTGCATAATTAGCATTTATCGTTTGGGCTTTATAGGAGATTGAATGATTGAATTTCACCCTAAACATCTATTAAAATAACACCCTAAACTACCCCACTCTCCCAGAAACAAAACAATTGCACTGTGCACGATAAAGAAGCTTCAGACTCTTCTACTCCTACAAAACAAAAAGAAAGTAAGAACAGGGTGAAAGCATCGTAGAGCTGCTGATTATGATGCAGAAAATCCAGGCAAGGCATTTTGAGAGCACAATGAGCAGTGCAGGTCGTAAGCACACAGCCGATGGCATTTTAAAAACATAATTTCCATCAGAATGTGTCTATAATCATACTCTTCAAATAATTACTTATAGGTTTTCCATCATAAAATCTAAGATCTAATTATAGAGAGACTGCAAATATATAAAATAGATTTTGTGTTCAGGTGAATGTGCAAATTGTGCATTCAGGTGGTAATTATGGTTTCTATTTGATATTTCGGTATCATGTTTGGTTTATCATAAACATAGTAATTGAGATTTAAACTGCAGTCTTGCCTCAAGCAACACAGAAATGTGCCACTCTAAAGATACAAGCTTTGTGAATGTGAGCTCCTATGAACCAAAAGACAAATCTAATAGTATAGATATGTTCAGTGTGGTGGACAGCAATCATCTCTACATTCGAGGCCCAACAAATTCACCTTTTTCTTTCAATGAAAAAAAAGAAAAAAAGAATAAGGCTTGAGTCTTTTGTATTCGTCCAACAGTCCTGAAGCCGCCTCGACTCACACGTTGGAGGAGCCGCAGCGACTTTTGACTTTGGGCACAACGAGGATCTCGTCCCCGTCTCGAATGCTGTAGGAATGGAGGGCCCGGCTGCCGCACCTCATCTCCTCGGGCCCCACGACCGAGCTCATCTCCCGGTTGATGTAGAAGAGCCGGACGCCGTTGGCGGGCAGCTGCAGCAGAGCCCGCAGGTGCTTCTTGAGGTCGCCCACCGTCTGCTCCAGGCGGAGGGCAACGGCCTCCACCCGGTCGCCCCAGCGAACGTCCACCGTGGTGCGCCGGGGCCTCAGGTCCACCTCCGCCAGCGGGGCCAATTCACCATACTTGGATACAAGGACGTGGTACCTGGGAGGAGAGAACGACGGATCACTGGAGTGCTTTCGCTTTTTAGTTAGATATATGTGGGGTTTTAGGGCCGGGCACGACATTATTTTCTTTCTTCTTTCCTTTCCTGTTTTGTGCAACAAGCGGCATGCCTGGACTCGAGTCAGAGACGTTGCACTCGGTCATTCTGTGCCGATGTCTTGTGTGCACATTTGTCCCGGAATTCTGGGCATTTCCAATCAGGCTGTTTTACCTGCAGATTAAATAAAACAGGTCCTGTGTGTGTGTGTGTGTGTGTGTGTGTGTGTGTGTGTGTGTTTAGAGGCAGAGAAACAACGAGGTCTCTGCCTCTTGCTTGCCGTGAGAAAGCTCTCAGCCCCCTCAGGGGAATGCGTTTTTGAGATAAGGTACGATTAAATAAAATCCAAGAGAAAAGGCCTGTGCTTTCAAAGCTACTGTAACAGCTGGGCCAATCAAAGCAATTTCCCCCTCCTCCCCAAAAGCTCCCCGACAAAGCCGATCCCCTGGCCCACGTTGCTGCCCAGAACATGTGGTGCACCCTGGGAATTCTCCCCTAAGGTCGCAGTGCACAAAGTGCTATTCTAAGAGAAGCCATTTAGCTAAGAAGGCTTCATTTGGTGGAGCCAATAACGCTGCAGGTGATAACAAGTCAGCACTCCCGGTGTCATTTGAAGCATTCTTCGATAATGGACAGTGAAGTAGCAGACATAAGGAGCGGATGCAGACGCTTCTTAGATCTCTTTTGGTGTTTCCTGGTTGAAAGATAACCTGCTTAAGAAAATAAGATGTTAATTGCCCCCTCTCTCCTGCAGCGCTGGCCCTCAATATCCACTGTTCCTGGTCCAGTGTCCCTTTCAGTCGCTCTCTACTTATTCTACTGGATACTCTGACTCTGATTTCTTTTTCAATCCAGTCCCTTCTTTTTTAATTCCTTGTGACTAATCCTTCCTGTGCAGCAAACCCCTTTACTTCTTTATATTTGTGTTTTCCACACCACTCCACCACGTATTTACAATTCTCTGCACATCCTCTAGAGCTTATTGAGGTGTATCAGCCTCTACCTGTCTGATTTGTGGCGTGAGCTGCGTTTATGGTTACTCAAAGCCCGGCTGTGTCAGGTTCGTCCACTAGAGAGGCTGCGACCCGCGCCGCAGCGCTCTGATCTCTCCGGGTAGCGAGGCCGCAAGGCCGTAAGGGGATATCGGAGTGTTCGCCGCTGACCAAGTGTGTCCGACACCCGCACGGCACCCACGTGCAGCCACGGTGATCCGTGACCTTGGACCTGCAGCGTGAACCTGGCTCCAAACCGGGACCACGAACACGTGTGCTGGTGAACATGGAGAACAGGAACCACGCAGAACATATTATGTGCGACGTGGTTTAACCCCCCCCGTGTGATCCAGTGCAGCTCAGAAAACAAATCAATCTCTCAACCGGAGGTTTGAGGGTGACAGAGTCGGTGAATACGTACCAAAAAAAAGAAAGAAAAAGAAAAGGAAAAATCAACCTGCTACCTTGTGTATCACTTTCCCCAATCAGAGAATTCCCCCCACAAAGGAGTCATTGAGCAGGGAGAGACTGGTGCCATTGTCTCCCAAAGGTTACTTTCCCCCAGTCAGAGACTACACCTTCCTTCACAAATCCCTCTCCAACATTCTGCAGAGGTTAAGTGGAATGCAGTTGGTGAAGAGCACTGGCAATTATTTGACCGCTGTCAGCCTCCATCCATCTCCCCCCCTCCTTCTCCACCCGGGAAGGCTTTCCAAATATTATATCACATCCCGTGGACGTATTGAGGACAAAGAGTGGGTTGTTGCTATAGTTACGGCTTCACAGGTTCTTACAAGTGGAAACTTGGAGACACACATTCAGCCTCCTGAAGGCGAATGCATCAAAGCGCCACATGGCAGCAACTCAATGCATAAAGACTATTTTAGGTCTGTTCAAAACATAGAAAGGGGGACAAATTGTTAGTAGTTACACTTTAAATGTTAACACTTCCTTTTAAGTAGTCTTTATACTTTTGACTCATACTGCAAGTTGCTGTTTGAATATGTATTGAAATTGTATAGTTGTTAAAATATTCTTTTATTCTTATATACATTCCATTTTTAAATTCAATGCGTAAGCATACATGGTGGACAAAGCTGATGTTTATTTAATTACTTTATTTAAATGTTGGATTGCATTCCATTCCATTATTCTACATAGTTTTATTGTAATTTAAAGTTGCATTGTAATCTTGATGTTAAATGTTTATTTTATCAAATCTTGACTGTATGGAAGGTGCCATACAAGTACATAGTACAAGTATTTTAATACAAATAAGGCCTATAATGGTCACACCTTAAAGGCCCACAAGTTCAATAAAGGCCCATTTCTGGCAGTAGTTCAGCCTAAAAAAGAACCGATGAAATTAACCGATGATGGAAAAAGAGCGACGAACTAAAGAAAAACGCATCCGCTATCGCCGACATTCCCCTCGCGCAGTGACAAACACGTGCGGGCGCGTAACACAAGTGTGCGGTGGGTCCGAGTACCTCTCGGGAAGTTGCTGCTGCGGGTTTTCCTGGTAGTAACGGATGAAGAGCCTCTCAGCGTCCTCCCTCTCTCCGGTTGTCACCAAACTGCCGTTCAGCCGCTTGACAGATGGCAGCCTGCAGGGGCGTTTGTGAGCACGGGGATTAGTCATGACAAAACATGCATCGGGTCACGAGGGTATTCACGGGCGCCCCCGCGGGCTCAGACTCACTGTGCCAGAAGCAGGCTGCGTCTGTCGTGGGTGGTGTAAGACTCCAACAAAGGAATCCCCTTCGCTTTGACCTCCTCCAGCTTCGGGAAGAAGTTCAGCCTCTCGATGTCCTCCCACCGACTGAGCCCTGTGTGACGCAACACCACGCGCTTTTTACGGCCCCCTGCCAGCGGACGCGGGCGGACGAAAACGTGCGCGGCCTCCGCCGTCCCTTCTCACGCACCTGAGTTGTTGAGGTTGATGCTGCGCAGGTTGGGAAAGAGCTGCTGCAGCGCGTCGTGGGAGTCGCCCACAGAGTCCACGCTGTTGTTGGCCAGAACCAGCGTTCTCAGACTCGGGTACATCTGCCCGAACTTCCGCACCTCCGCCCACGCCTCCAGCTGGTTGTCTGTGATCTGCAGCAGGCGGAGAGACGGGCAGGAGGTCTGGGACTCGGACACGGTGTTGTAGCCATTCAGGCACAGGAAGAGCTCCTCCAGCCTGGAGGAGGACGCAAAAGGGGTTTCAAAGTTGAGACGCACGACAACTTTTTCTGGGCAAATCTGCATCTCTTTCATCTTAATCCGCAGTTTCTGTTAAATCTGCCGATGCTTCCCTCCTTACATTGAGGGTTTGTGTTTGAATCTGCTATTCTAAACCCAAACTGTGTCAGTCCATCACTCCAGACTGTTCTCAGCCCCCCACTTGTTTCGTGCTAAAAAAAAAAAAAAAAAAAAAGGCCTTGATCTGGGCTACGCAGGTTTCAACAAGTTACTGGGAGGAACTTTCATCTGGTGTCGGCCCATGTTTCATCACTTACTCCGGTGCATTCTGTGTGAGTTTGTGCACCGTTTCCCAGCTGACGTGCGTGTTAATGAGGACAAGTTGTCGGACCCTGGGGAACACCTCGGCCATGCTGGGCTCCAGCTCTATGCCACTCAGCGGGTTCATGCTCAGATTGAGGAAGTCCAGGTTTGGGATGTTGGAAACAATGTCGCAGATCTGGAAACCAACAAGCATTTTACAGAAAAAAAAAAAAAAAAAAAGATTTCTGTCTCTCTGTAGGATTCTTAAGTCTCGGACGGACACCCACCTCCGCCCAGTCGTTGAGTTGATTGTGGGACAGGTCCAGCTCCACCACATGGGCACAGAAAGCTGCGATGTCCGACCTCTCGCCGGCTTTACCGATTCCAGAGTCACTCAGGACCAGTATGTTCGGCAAGTACAGGCGATCTGCAAAGAAAATATGGTGAGCGGGGCAAAGGTCGTGGCCGATGTCAGCGCTCACTCGCTGCACAACCGGTGCACGAGGTGATCTCGGCCCGAACGACCCGCTCGTCACTCACCTTTGACGGGGGACCCTGGCGGGCTCGGCATAACCACGACTCCCTGGCCGTAAGGGAAGTTCTCCGGGCTGTATTTCTCGCTGAGGACTTGGATGAAGGTGCGCACCTCCTCCTCATCAGAGGACGACTCCATGGTGCCGTCCCTGAGGAGTGTCCATGGGAGAGACGGAAGCAAAGGGACGCGGTCAGTTGATTTCACCAGGCTTCACATTTCATTCCACGACCATCCGGAGATCCAGATATTGAGAGTCGGCACGAGCAACTTTTTTATTTTAGCAAATTGTTTATTTTCATTCTGATCGGCCACAAAATGTATGCGATTGTCTTCGATTGTCTTCAGGCTCTAGTTAAGTAATGACGTAATGAATCATGTTTACTGTTATGGATTTAAATCCTTTGTTGTATCGTAATGGGAAACGTGGCGTTCGCATTGGCTCCCAACAGGGGAGGAGGAGGAGGGGGAGGATTATTACTTCTACCATCAAGATGACCTCGGTGAATGTGTCCCTTGCTGGAACTAGATCTATTCCCCTGCCTCGTATCAGTAACACGTAGCACAGACACTCGTTGCGTCTGCGTGCAGCCGTCTTTCGTTTGTTTAATTGTTGTTTTGTCTCTCAGGGTTCTATGACGTAAAGGATCACACACAGATGCTGTGGTGCCTGCAGGGCAGAACAACACAGTCAAGTCATTTTTGTCTCTTCCATTTCACTTGCCCTATAAAGAGGAAAAAAACAAAAGCGAAAGGACATAATCGATGTATGTAAGACTTAGTTTAAGAACTGGTGAAATTGACAGTGATGCTGTTTATGTTCATGAGCGGGGCCCTTTCAACAGACGTGCCGTAATGGAAACAGAAGTAGCAGCGGGGCCGGTTAAAACCAGAGATGTGCTCCCTTTGAATTAGGGTTTTTAGAAAAGGAAAACGCAGGTCTAAAAATAACCCGTCAACGTTGCAGGATGACCTACACAGAAGCAGAGGCAACGCAGCACTGACAGGAACAGGTGCGCGGTTCACACGGAAGTGCTTCCGAGTGGAGCTCGACCACCTGCTCCTGCTGAGGGCCGTCCTCTGGGGACCAACTGAGTAGAGGATTAACAGACAGCCATTTGGATAATGGATTAGGCATTAAACAGACAAACAGAAGCCCAACTATGTGTTGTGACAACCACACTACACTTTGTAATGTGAAATATGTTATTCTTGTTGCACCCATCTGCCCCAGTTGTAAAAACTCACGCATCTGTATCATGGGTAATGTCGACACTGCCTCCAATTTAGCAAACATAAACTTAAAGGGTTAGTTTATGTAGACTTGAACGTCCTGCAAAAGGAAATGCCTTTTGATTTCTGGAAATGGCTTTGAGGAGAGAAACATTACGGCTTCAGATGTCTGAAGGGGAGGTAAAGAGTTTTTTAAAAGTGTAATAGCACTTTTTTCATGCTGTATTTGGATATATGTTCACACACAGCACCCATGTCGCACCCTCTCTCTTTAACCCTGATCAGCCCTATCAGTTTCAGACCAGTGGGGTCTGATCATGTGATCATCTTAAAAACGAGCGTGACGTCCGGACTCCTTCTGATGTTTCTGTCATAGATAGTTTCATGTTTCACCAACTCCCTCATGCGTGGCCCTGATGAGGTGGAGAGCAAAGGAGAGCCTGTTTAACTTCACATCAGATCTCCTCTGAGGGAACATGTCGATGAGAGCTTTGATGAAGTGAGACCCTGAACAACAACAACAAAAAGAGCTAATTTCATCATGCAAATATAAATATATACTATAAATATGAATTTTGAACAGCTTCACATATGCCGGAGTAGGGTGATATTCGTAATTATACTAATAATAGAATATAATCGATTTATAACCTACACACATAAAGTTCCATTGTCGGGTCACCGGGTAGACTTATTATCCATATTATATTTGACATTGAAAACATACCAAACAAGCAGCAAGTTAATTTTTACATAACACGACTCACTACCGCCCCCAGCGGTGTGGTTAAACCGCAACAACACTAACCCAATTTAAAGATTTACAGTTTTATATTAAGTAACGAACAGCGTTTTAGTGAACAATTGATGCCGAATAAAGTGTCGACTCACAACGATTCAGAAAAAATATTGACTGTTAGTTTATCTTTAACATGATAAAACTAGCAAGCGAGGACAGCTTAACTAGCAAGTTTTTCCAACGTAGTTCGGCAAAACATTCGTCAACTGCGATGAACACGGCAAGTTGTTTTTGTCACGGGGGTTGGGGGGGGGGGGGGGCTCCGACCGAGACCCGAGGCCACACTGAAGCTGGTGCATAATGCGAATGAACAAAAAGAGAAATTTATCGTCGGCATTTTGAACGTACTAGAGGTCTTAATTTCTCCCGTTTCTCGCATCGACACGAGCTAACGGCAGTGCGTCATGGTCGCTTCCTTCACCTCTGGAAATGTTTGGACATTATTCTGCATCGAGTCCTTACGACGACCCGCCAAGCCAACGTCACATGTCACTATTAATATTGTATTTTGTACAACTGACACGGTTTATTTCGAGACCATTGCACTCACCGTCCCCGACAACCCCCTCGATGTGCTGTTTGTTTTTGTTATTCTCCTGTTCGGTGACAGTTTAAGACACGCCTACCTGACCGGAAGTGACGTTGTTTAAATGTCTGTCTGTTTTTCTTGTCTGCTTTACCGTACTTTGTTCTTTTCAGAAACTTGATGCATATTATTATACAAGCATCTAAGAGACGGTATTGAATTATATATACACAACTGGGAAGAGTTTGGGGGAAATGTATACTGCTATTATTTGTTAAAGTAGCAAGTAACGTAGGTCAAGGGCAACAATAATCTTTTTGTTAAAAACAGTCTTGAATTTTCCATTTTCGGAATTTATCAAATATAAATACAATGAAGGAATGAGTCTAGTTTACACAGGCAAAATGATCACATTTGGCATATGAGTCCCTTATTAAATAGATTAAAAGTAACTGAAATTCAAGACAATAAAAAAAATACAAAAAGTAGCCGTTTTTATCATTTAACCCAAAACCAAGAATTCTGTATTCTGAGTGTATCATTCCTCCATGTCAATCAAACGTTAGAACCGAAAGGTCTACCACATGCTGCCACCAGATGGCAGTGCTGGGTGTGTTTCCCTACTTCAGGAGGGGGAAGCAAACTCCATGCATGTGGGGAACCGTCCACCAAAGGAAATCCGCTTGAGTTAACCCTGTTACCGGCAAAAAACAAGATATAAGAAATTACTCTATATACAAAATTAGCTGAAGGAGCGTATTGTTTTCTCTCCGAGCGATGCAAATTATGTCACCAGTGTGTCATAGACCGCCCTGCCACCATCTTGAGAAGACTTTCGTAACTGAACCGGGTGACAATTAGGCTAATCCCCATGTTGTTATTTAAGTGCAGATATGTACTAGTAAAAGCATGCTATACATGTACGTACATTAAGAGAAAAAGGCTAACGTGAGTTTAGTTCACGAGCATGTAGCTAAAGTATTCATCAATATAAACAAGGCTCAACACACAACATGAGAGTCAACAAAACAAATCAGTCTGAAGATGAGAAGGGAAAAGGGGAGTGGCCAAACACTGTCTTAATCCAGAATGATCCAGTGAGTCAACCTTAGTCCAGAATAATCTGCCTATATCTGTGTCTGGGGGACGGAGGGAACGTGAACAGAGTCAGAGGAGTCCTAACCAGCTGCTGGATCTTTTAGTTTTGCCTCAGGACCAACATTTTTTTCCTCTTGTCAATAGGGAATTATCTACAAATTTATCATAAGAACTGGGACAGCGGCACATGGCGCTCCTGAGGTCAGGCTGGCTGTGGAGGCAAAGTGAGTAGAGACTGGATGTTTAACTTTTTACGTTGTATTTTAATGTATCCTTTGGCAGATATCAAGGGAAGAACAACAGCTTTGACTGTTATAATAACAATTCAAATGTTTTCTTTAGCAGAGCTAAAATGATTTTTAGCATCGTAAATAATTGATTTTATCCTCAGAGGGTGTACGTGGTGGAGTCACATCACCATACCTCCAATCTATTGTTACCACACGGACAAATCAAATGAATGACAAATGAAAAAAGCAAGGTTAGGTCTAAACATGTCGTGGAAAAAAGTCCAAAAATGTTTTGAAAAAAAGGCTGTTATGTTATGTTGACAAATGTTATGCAAAAAAAGTAAAATGATACCAGGTTGAAAAATGTTTGTGAAAAAAGACAAAGTGTGTTAGATCAAAAAATGTTTGGAAAAAAGAAGGAAAAAAAATGTTTCGAAAGAAAATTTTAAAGTGTCATGAAATAAAAAATCTCCAAATATTAGGTCAAAAACTGTTTTGAAAAGAAAATCCCAAAACTATTTAAAAAAAAGAGAGTGAAAATATTTCAGGCCTATAAAAAAGGCAATGTAGGTTAGGTCAACAAATGTCACAACAAGTCAAAATATATCAGGTCAAAAAATGTTTTGAAAAAAAGTCACAAAATAATATGTTGAAAAATATTTGAAAAAAATATGTTAGGTCTTCAAATATCATGGAAAAGTAAGTCACAAAGTATTAATATTGTATTAAGAAAACAAAGGAAATTGTTTTAAAAAAAAAGAAAGAAAGAAATGTTAGTTGATCAAATGTCATGAGAAAAAAAGTCAAAAAGTAATATGTCAAAAAATGTTTGGGAAAAATGTCCCAATATGTTAGGTCATAAAATGTCTTTAGTCGTCAACTGTTTCTTTCTTTCTGCGCTCAGTGATTGCTCACTTTCATATCCTTACTAATCTCATCCCTTACAATGTCTGACGCCTCCCATCCAGCTTCGGTCCTAAAACGCTGGAAGTTAAACTGGTGTGACCTTTGGATCGACGGGAGCCTTTGCTTCTACAAGAGTGACAGCCGGCGAGAGTTGGAGCACCGCGTCAGCCTGAAGACCACGTGCGTGGACGTGAGATCGGGTCTGGAATGTGGAGGTGAAGAACGCCGTCTCTAAGAGTACAAAATGTTTTAATGTATGATCTTCCATGCAGAAGACATGCTGACAACACGCTCAAGTCTGGGTGAATCATTTCTTCGACTTGTTTCTGGCGCTGCAGGTGTGAGCCCGCCAGAGAGTAATCCCAGAGAGAACCTCGTCGTGGTTCAGCTCGCGAGCGGCTCAGCGGTCAACCTGTGTGCCAACAGCGAGGATGAGTCCATGTAGGTACTCCCAACACCCGCTGGTCTGCGCTGCCTCACATTACCAGTAATATACAATTCCGGTATTTTATCGGCCCGTTGAGATCCAAAATCTACTTTCCGAACTTTTACTTTAGTTTGAATGGCTGCTCTTTACTGCTTAATTCCTGCTAATCTCTTTTCTCAGAGCCTGGAAACTGACTCTGCTAGACACCCGGAGAAACCCTGTGAGTGATCCACTGTCGTCTGTAAGAGCCGAGACGTAATCTGTCACTCTCCGCAGGGGTTTTCTAACCGTTTTCTTTCTGCAGTTGTTCACGTACGACCCATATGATGACTCTTACCAAGCGGTCCCCATCAACAACTACCATACGGTGTACATTACACCTGGAGCAGGACCAGGTATTTCACACACAAAAGCTGCCAAATGAGCAACCCCAGACTCAACAAGTATTGTACGTGGATCAGCAAAGAAGTTTACCTTAAATGTGTCGTCCCTTTTTCTTTCCTCCGAGGAACCCACCAGGTGGTTGTCCAGAGGGACCCATTCGATGGAGTCTTTGAGCATCTGGCGCTGGGATTGCTGGCGGGCATGGCAGCGGGGACGGCCATGCGATCGTTCCTCTGGATGCCCTTCTTCTTCTGCTGAAACCATGGCTCCTGTGGCGGCGGCGGGAGAGAGGCCCAAAAGAGGGAGTGATCATGTCCGCGGTGACAACCTGCTTCTCTGGGTTAATCGGTTTGTTTATTTTTCCTGATGTGCACTTTCGCAAATGAGACTTTAGAAGATGCAAAGTCTGCCATTTCATTTTATGTTCTCCCTGCTTGCACATCACCCTGAATCCACTTACAAAGCCCGGCAGTCGATTTTGTATATGGCTATTCTTTAATCTGTTGCATGGATTTTACACTTAATAGCTTGATAAAACTGCAGTCTGTGGTGGGAAATAAAGGGATGTAGTAAATATATATTTATGAAGGGTGATCATTGTTTGGTTGCATACGTCAAACAAACCTTTTTTTTTACTGCATTGCTCTGGTTTGTCAAGACAATTACATCTCGGGGTCAGTCAATACGCGACAATTCAGACCCTTTTGTACTGCAAAGAAACTGAGAGTAACTGATTTAGGACCACATGTAAAAGTGTCCCATATCAGAATTGAAAAAGAAAAAAAATCTTATTTGTGCTGTTCCCACAAAAAAAAATCATATTTTGGCCATTTCTTTTAGACGTATCACAAATAAAAGTATGAATATGAACAAAAAACAAGACTACATATTCATGTAAATAATTTTAATTTATTAAAATAAATGGTATCCCATGAGCCAACTGTCATTGATTCTCCATCCAGCTCTTATGAGTCAGTATCGGACGGACATCTGACATCTTGCCTCTAATGACGAAACCGTCTCGCATCTTATCCACTACTGCCTAAAATCTCACAACAGCGCATTTGGCAAGTAGAAGAACTGAAATTATGCTGTGATTAGTTTCCTAGCGGAGCATGGGTGTAGCACGTAGTCTTTATAAAAAATATATTGATCACTTTCATCACTTTAAATGCATCGTTCCCAGTCTGTTACTCCTCCTTGCGTGCGACTCCGTTCACTTTTCCTTCCGCCGTCACTCTGCCTTCCCCCAACTTTCCCTCCGCTTGGAGCTTCCGGATCAGATCATGGGGGCCCTTCCCCAGCAGAGCCGACGGGTGCCTGTAGGAGCCTCCCAGGCGGTCCCACAGGGTGAAGTACTGGCCGTAGTTGTAGTCGAAGAACAGGTGGTGGTCGGTGTGGTGAGCCGAGCCGTTGATGGCGCCGGTCAGAGCGTCGGGGACGCGGTAGTCGCCGTCGTGGATGGAGATGGTCCAGATGTTGACGAACACGTACAGGGCCAGGTAGAGCACCTTGTGGAGGGGGAAGAGGAAGGGGTAGATGTGGTACGGGAGTCCCTGCATGAAGCCGTCTACCGGGTGGAAGGCGTGGCTGGCGAAGGGGGAGGGGATCTTCCATAGGTGGTGTGGTTTGTGGAACAGCTGTCGGGGGGGGGGTCACAGCGAGGTGGTCAGAGCCAAAATGAGATGGTCACAAAGGAAAAATAAAAAAAATTGTACTGACCTTGTAAATAAGCTTATGATGCAGGATGCGATGAATCCAGTAGATGCACATGTCAGTGAAGAGCAGGAAGGAGATCATACTCAGGAGGAGCCCCGGCCAACCTGACAGAACCACACAGGACGAGTCACCACGGAGAAACAACAAGGTGGAAGGAACAGGCGGGAGCCGGCGAGGCCCTGCTTCAACTTACCCAGCGGGGAGTCGTCGACATTGTCGTACAGCTTGCTGAATCCTCGGACTTCGGCGAAAAACAACGCCACTGTGGGGATGCTGATCAGAGGAAGCGAGGACATCGCATATTTAATCTCCCTGCGAACCTGATTCTAAGTAGAAAAAAAAAGAAATTGATTTGCCAGTTTTATGGTTTCGACTATAAAAGATACTTGAGTGTGTCCCAGATACACAGAAGATCAAACATCAAGACAACTTGAACCAGTTTCTAGAATGACCTTTCATTCAGTTGATTTTGTGTTTAATGTTTATTTAACGCCAGGGTTCAGCGGTGCGGTCACACGCACCATAAGACGAAGACACAGGACTACATTCGTACCTCTAAGAATTGTGGGTGTTTCATTAGCTTGTGGTCAAAGATGAGGAAGTAGTTGGTGACTCCGAGGCCCAGATACAGGACGGCAGCGCCGAGGTTGGTCAGCACCAACAGGCTGAGGATCTGCCGCAGGGCCCCGTCCTCGGGCCACGACGCAGGGTACACATACGGGGACAGGACGTAAGAGTCGGCAACATTCAGCACCAGATCCATGGTTCGAATCTGTGGAGGGAGAGAGAGGCACAAATTATGAAAGAGGGTGCCAACAGCACTGCATTTCCCAGAAGCCCCGTTGTTTGCTGTCATTTCTTGTGCGAATCCTTTGACATGTAAGTGTTCATTTATGCACGTGTTTGAACTGAGATTAGGATTTTTTGTTTTTGAGCTAATTAGTTTATACTAATACTACTGTTGTACTGTTTATAAACACATTTATAAACAGTTTCCAACACGTCGGTAAATGAATGACACTGTATATATTTTTAGCACACTAAATGGCATGCAGATAATAAAGTACGTGAACGTTACGTTAACACTTTAATAGAGATATCACATTTAACTTTACGTAACTTCCTGACTGAACGTTACGTGCGACGGCTGGAAGCTAAACATGAGCACTCCGCTGGAATCATTCACACTAAAACGGCCGCGTTGCACGGTGGCATTAGCAAAAGATAAAACGAATACAACGTAAATATGTCCGTCTTCGTATTAAAACGGTCCGCTACCGTACCTTGTGTGGGTTGCTCGTATTCGAGTACAGAAGCGGAGATGTGCGTGCCAAGCTAAAAGGTAAGGAAGTAACCAATCAGCGACGCTCGGCCCCACGCGTCACACAGCGAGCATCCAATGAGCGGGTAGCTTTCCCATCACGGCAGGGTTGTTGTGATTTGTGATTGGCCTGTTGGGGGATCTGCTCATGGTGTTACAGAAACGGGTCCGCTGCCACTTCCGGGTCCTGCCGCAGCTGGAGCAGAGGCAGAAACGCCCCCAGCGTGTTACACAAACCTGTGCTTATATTAATGAAGATAACGTTTAAACATTGGCATTCTAACATAGGGCCAGCCAATTACATATTATATATTTACACTCTATATTAACTGTATGCTATACAAACAAATCTTTTTATTATAACTTATTTTCCAACTCAAAGATGCCAAATATTAAGAATAAACTCCTCACCAGCCTGAAGCCTTACATTTATCCCCGTGGCTTCTAGGAAATCCACCAGGCCATAATTATGTTTGCAATATCTCTGAATGGGGAACAGGCAGCAGGTGAACCACTAGACTTACAGTACTGTGATTTGCATCTACAAAATAAAATGCTTTCAGGTTTAATGGCTCAGACGACCAATTGCTTCCATTCTGCTGTGGAACAGACAGCCACCCTGACACAAGGGGTCGCCAGTGCTCTAAAGTCGGACAGGGACTAACCGTAGCCTTGGATACGCTCTATTCTACATGTCCACTGTGTCATGCATGCATATTAAACGTGATACCACTGAAGGTTTGCTCATTAAAAACCTCAATGAATTCTAGTTTAGACACACTATAATCTCTTTTATTAGGCAGCATTAATGTCACGGGGACCTTACCACAGAGGAAAGGCTATAGACCTCCACGAACAGCACAATTGTATTTATTTCAATAAGGATTATAATATTGAAAAGATAATGACATTTCTGCTCAGTTCCAATACCAGGAAAAGGATTCGTTCATATTCAAACTCTTTGTTCTGCCCCGAAGGCAGCTGTCCATCAATGTTGAACCCCAATCAGAAGCTTTTTAATTATTTGTTCATATCACAACGAGGGAGGGACTGCCAAACGTTTTATCTAAAACTCCCCCCGACGCAATAAAATAGCCCTCCGTGAACCTAAAACCCTGCAATTAAAAACATGTTGATCTTCTTTTCACATTCAGAAATTGTGTCCGACTTCAAGGACCCGCATTTAACATTCAGAGCGTTGATGCAGCCGCAAACCCCAATCTGCTCTGTAAAGATGGAGAGGCGTAATAGCTGCTTGAGCACAGAATGAAGTCGCTGTCCGAGCTTCTCTTTGACGTGCATGTTGGTGCACGTTGGTGCACGTTGGTGCACGGTTAATGTTGAGCCCCAATCAGAAGCTTTTCAGCATTCCGATTTTTCAAGGGGCAACTTGAGACTCTTGGATATAAGTCCATTTGTATTTGATGGAGAGCTCATTAGCATGTAAACAAGACTAATGTTACAAAAGTTAGTGTAATAATTTCACTTATTTTTCTCTAACTTTGTTTATTATTGTCTCTATAATGATTATTATTCATTCATTATGAAACATTACCAATCAAACAAACCTAACCCTTTATCAATCTCTAGTCTAAATATCCAAAATCCGAATAAAAAGCGGATTTTTTTGTCTCAGTGCAGCAATTCCTTCTATATGTTACTGCTCTCATGTTTTAAATGACAAATAAACACGTCCTTTCCTTCTGCTGTCCAGCAATGCGGCTACTTTCATTCACAGCGTGAAGACCGTCACCTATTAAAATTGTGCTTTCGCCACGAGAACACAAAAACTGAACGGAGGCCGTCAGTTGGAGGCCGCCATCGGGTGGAGGCGGTGCCCCCCGGAGAGGCCGCCATCTATCGCCGGGCTGACATTCATCACAAGCAATTAAGCTCATGTTCTGCGCTGCCCTTTTAAGCATCAAGCTCTTTTCCACCGCACCACTTGTGGTGATGTGAGGGGAGCACATGGCCACGCTTGTGTCTCGACGCCGCACAGATCGTCTCAGCTCGTGGATATGAAGAATAAACAGCTGCATGAATACTGCGCTTTAGTCAAAAGTGCGTCACATAAACACACAAACACAGCCACACGCAAGCTACCATGCAAGCTGCTGCCAAAAGCGCCCGGAGCAATGTGGGGTTGGGAGTCTTTCCCATGTGGGTGAGACCACCCTGTGATTAGTAAACCTCCTTTGCCACTCATTTATTATTGCTAATTAAGAACGATGAGAAGTTCATCGACGATTTATAAGGAAGCCCTGTCTCCTTAAATGTACCTTTCCATCCACCCAAAGGCATTGGCTTTCAAAGGAAAGTTATTTTTATCATAACATTTGCTTTTGAAGTATCAAAAATACATTTTATATCAGTCTATGGATGTCTGCACAGTCAGGAGGTCAGGATGGTGTTTTCTACTAAACCTTTCCATGTACTCATGTCACGTTTCCTCAAACCATAACGCAGTGTAGTGGTTTGGAAATGGCATTTTGTGGAAGGGTGGGTTAATTAGAGGAAATGTGTAAGGTGAAATAAGCATC